ATATACATATGTAATTTTTGATTAAATTTTTTGTATACTTGAGTAAACCTGTTCTTTTTGTGTCTGATTACATTAGAATTTAGTACTTTGACAGTGTCTCTAGGCATTCTGCTGCATCAGACAATCGCGTGACCATCAATTTAATACACGGTCGTTCGCGACTGATGGGCGGAGAACGCGGTCCGCTTCTTTGCACGTACTAGAGATGTGTTTTGCTCTCTTTCTGTGTTCTTTCTTATTCTGAAGTACTACTATTCACATCCGGCGTTCCATTCTTTCAGTATGTTACGATTATCGGAATCAATTCGCCGCGGGTGAAGTAACGGATTCGGCACGCATGACAAAAAAAAACTTACGATAGTAGCTGTACTTACGACGCGATATTTAAAATTATATAAAGCTTTCGATGAAGCACGGCTTATCTAACTCGTATGAATTATATTTTTTTTATCAATGTCTCGTCGAGTTCGTTAGATCGCGCTCGCGAAAGTTCGCGTGATTGCGCGAGAAATATGCTCCGGTCTCTATAAATTCTATCTTACCCCGTCGAGTATCCATCGGATTTAATTTCGTTTAATTGCTACGATCTCACCCGAGACTTTTTCATCACGCGTACCAGAAGTATCACGCGATACCCAACCGGTCTGAGGATACGATAGTCATCGTTGCATTTTTGAAGATGTACCCACCGTGATGAATGTCCTCATAGATAAGACGTAGAATACACCTGCTTTCAAGTTAATCGTACGTCTCGAAAATATTATGGACAGTATTAGCAGGCGTCCAATCTTGGTGGAAAACTCGTCGTCCCATTTCGAGAGCCACTGGCTTTGCGTCAACGACGCGCTCTGCAAGATCGCAAATTTAGCGCTATGTGAAAGTTCGCTTTAATTACATATGTATTATAAATCCGAATTAATTATATATCACGTCGATTATAAATTGTTGTAATCCCGAAGAAATTTATTAAAATTTAGTCTATTAAAATTTTCAAATTTATTAAAATTTTCATCAACTTTCTAGCTTCTCGTTGATCATATTACGTTGTTTTTATAATGCCGGTAGTAAAAATAAAAACAAATCATCCAGTAAAATAAAAATTCTTACTAACGTTGAAATACATTGAAATTGGTATTCAAATATGTAACTTCGGAATCGCACTACAAGATGTTAAAAAAATCGTGTCGTGTTTTACTGCAAATAGCGGTAAAATTATTGATGAAAGAGCGGTATTGAGAGACAAAGTGTTACTACGGAACGTGATCGCACCTGATACATCACTTCGTTTCCTTGCCAACAGATATAGAAGAGCTGCGAAAGGGCCGCCATCAGATATATTGAAAATTTGCAGGTGTTGGAGCTCTGGCCTATGACCTGCTCGAAACAAAGCGAGGCTCTGATCACGATCTGGCCGCGACTAGGCACTTTGACTTATCACGACTCACCAATGTGGCTTGGAAGCCGGTTAGGCAAATCATCGTGGTGCTCGAGAGCATCTGTACGAACATGCCGACGCTGAAGAGCTCGTTGAAGTCGTCTATTATGGCGAGCAGACGTTGATGATTGCGGATGGATCGTCCGAGCCGCTCGGCGAAACCGCCGCGGCGAATCGCGTCCGGATCGTAATTATCCTTTCCGCAGCTGGCCTCAGCCGTAGGAAATATCCCGTAACAAGTTTCTACCCCGTTTCTTCCACCGGCGTTGCTTGAATCCCCGTCTCGCTTATCGACGTCTGGCGTCGTCGCGTCGTCGTGCCGGTCGTCGTTGCCGCAGCTCTCGAAATGCGCGTTCAGAATCTCGAGCTTCACGAGAAACAGATTGCAGAGATTCGTGTTCAGGCTGTCCATCCCGATGATGGCGGCCATGCCGACGGAGACGGCGCAGGCCTCCACGAAGAAGCCGATCCCGTGCCAGGGATACACGGTCGTGTCGAAGGGGTACCGCGCCCTGACCGGGAGTTCCCCGTTCTCCACGGGCACAAGGAACAGCAGAGCGATCACGAGGAAGAAGCCGAGGACGCTAAACCCGTACATGCTCACGCGGGAAAGTAGCAGGTATTTGCCCAGGATTTTGTCCTCACCGCCAACTGATTACGTGAACAATATTAAAAAAAAAGAAATCGAGTCTCGGTTGCAGTTTCACGAGCGAAACTTTGCGTAAAAAGCTTTAAGCTGGAAAATAATTCAAGGGGAAAGTACAATCGTACTCGGTATCGTTGGTGTGTACTCTCTTCTTACAGCTTTTCGTGACACGATATTAGAATTAGTGAAACTTGATATACGATTTCAAAGAGACGACACATCACGTGTCGTCATCGTAGATGTACACGTGTCAGGCGTGATTATGCAAACTGTCGAGTAATTCTGTGTGAATGAATCGCGTAGATCCTTAATCGCGTGTCAAGGAGAGACATCGCGAGAAGGACTGGCAGAGACCCGTCGGGGAAAAAATTCCTTGAGTGGTCCTGAATTAACGGAGAAGTTCGAGACGAGCCTATGATGGCCCTTTTGCAGTGTCCCTTTCGACGTGCGGATCTCATTAAAACGTAAAATTACGCGTCGTTCTGTCATCGTGTTTGCTTAATAGAAGATATATATATTTACGACTTGGCATTAAAGCTGCATTTGCAATGGCATTTCACTCCTTTACCGATTGCGACAATTCAGATTTCAGCAAGATAAACATTGTCGTTACAGAAAAATAGAAAAGAAACCGGTCGAATGATAAAATTATGCAGCACATAAAATACTGGATGATATTTGCGGGAGATGTTTAAAATTATACGATATGGTATCTACATGTTTCCATATTAATTTTATACATCTGAATGCCAAATAATTTTATTTACCGGGAAACTTGCAGAGTTCTTTGCAGCCGTCAATAGTTTTGCATAGCAATCGTGCGATCTGCTCACGGCGAATTTGGAAAATCATCACTTTGAAGAATACGACGAAAATCCCGGCGAAGATGCATCCGTCGTCCGTGACGATCGAGAGATCGTCGAAACTCAGACATATATCAGCGAACAAAGTTATCATGAAGACGAGTATGATCGCTAGGACACATCTGCTGTACACATAGTATAAGCATTTCAATAACGTGGATGCATTTGAATCGAGAGCCCATAAGCCAATGTACCTGCGTGAACCATAAAAACCTTATTAGAATCACAATCAGAAATAATCATCTCGAAAGCTTGAAGATCGCAAACAATACAAAATATATAATTATAAAAAATTAATATAATTATAAAAATAATTAACTTAATTGAAAGGATGGATAAAATAAGGATCTAATTATAAAATTTCGATTTTGAGAAAAATTAAAGTAACTTAATATTTTTTATTACACAACAAATATTTTCTTTTGCCATCATATCGTTTTCATCATACAATCAGAATCATACAATCATACGTTCATATATATATATATGTGTGTGTGTGTGTGTG